CTTCTTTGTAGAATCATAAATAGTATCAAGAATTTAGACCATGATCAAAATTCTCCAGCCCTGAAGGTTACATAAACCATTTCTCTAAGTTCTATAACCTCCTTTATATAATAATTATTTGCTTACTAATGTTCATGTCGATTTTTTCCAAGAGCTGTATTGCTAATGGGCAATTTATTTTGTCTCACTTGTTTTAGAGATAATGGCGAGAGAAGAAAAAAAAAGCCTAAAAATTTAAGATCAAGTTTTCACAAAGAAGTATCAGTTTTAAATATTGCCTTTAAGTAAACTCAAAGGCGACATAAAATTACCTAACCATTTTTTGTGGAGACAGTACTTGACTTGGACCAGGATATAAGTCATTTCCTTTGCATGGCAGAGTATGTTTAAGAGCATGGACTCTAGGGTCAGGCTATCAGGATCCAACTTTACAGAACCCCTGACCTGTTATGTAAAGCTGTGTAAATCTGAGCATGTTTTAACCTCTCTGGAGCAGTCTGCCACCCTGCATCCTATACAATACAGGTAAGAACAGTATCTACTTCATAGGATCTAGATGACTAAATGAGTTGACATATAATATAGAAGTTGGTAGTAAGTACCTTGAAAACCATCTATTACTTGAGAAATATATAACAGGCAAAATAAATTTCCTGGTGGGTAAAGATAATCATTTCAAGTGTTAACTAAGTGGTAATTAAAAATGAGCCCCATAAAATTTCTTATATCATTTATTTTCATATAGACAGCTCACTTATTTACAAGTTTAAAACTGGTATGCTAACTTTACAAAGATAGCTCTTGCACTAAAGCAATAACTAAAGGTGACGCCTACAATATATTTTTAAAGATTAATATACAAAGAATTCTGAAAACACAACTTCCTGTACTGTAGGACTGAAGTCTTGCTTAAACCTATTTTGTATCCAACTTTGACATTTAAAAGCCTATAATATAAAGCAATTGTATGGCTGCAAATTAAAATGAGTAGAGCTTAAAAACCAATGACCATGCCAGGTATCCACCCCAGATGAATCGTTTTTCTACAGGTACTGCTCAAGCATCATTTAAATTCGTCACATTGAGTTAATGTACTGTAGCTGAATTTCAATAAAAATAAAAGTTATCTTAATAGTTTATTTCACCTAATTTTAAGATGGGTATGATATACAGAAACAACTGGAAAACAGGACTGAGTTTTAAAACAAAAAAGATATTGGTATGCCTAACTAGAAAAAGAATTACCTGGTTAAATTTTACATTATATCCATCTTAAGGTGAAGTGATCATAAAAATAAAGCATTTTACAGTCACTTAAGCTTGGTTTTCAATAAACCAGAGAAATAATTAAATGAAAAAAAAAATAGGATACAGAATTATAATTTATGATGATTATAGGGAAATGTCCATATAAACCGATAGCTGCTGGGTATCAGATTTGGCATTATTTTTTATTTTTTTGTAATATATTTTTCAAATTCTCTAAAATGCACATAATTTCTACAATCAGAAACATAGAAAGATAAAACGTTCTTTCTCTTTAAGGATGAATGTCCAAACTTCTTTGCACCAGTCCCCAACAGGTCGGGCACCACTGCGGCTGCACAGCACTCTACAAAAGCAAGGCTCCTACCAACAGTGTGGGCTAGCCAATGTAGCACTACACCAGCTGATCCCAACTCCCTATTAACAAGCATTTATCCTGTAGGTGATTAGACAAAAATCTTATCTGTCATCAGAACTCAACTCCCAGTCAATGACTGGCTATTATTAGTTGACAGAACATAAACATACAAACCATCATAATCTTTTGAAATAACATTACTTTTTTGTTTTTTAAAGGAAAAGGACACGTCACTACATTTTTAATCAGTTTATTTATTCGCTGAACAGTTTAATTTCTTTTGAAAGCTAGAAAATAAAGATCATTTTACCTTCTTATTTTGTTGTCTTTCCATATGGTAAACATTTCCCCCTAATTCTCATAAAGGTCAATTTTTAAAAATCTACCCACACACCAAATCACAGAATAGGAATGTGCAAACTCTAGGAAAGCTATTTGTTAGCTGATTTAAAGTGGCAGAAGATCACAATTTGGGATTATACTGTGAAAGAACTCTTCTTTTATGCCTTGCTGATAAAACTTGTTTTTGAAGTGGCGTATTTTGAATGATTACAATCCAAAAGTAATTCCCAGAGTAGATAATATTAACTTTAAAGTTCTGAGCAAGATACTTGAAGAAATTAGTATTATTTTTTCTTTGACCAGAATTTTTGAATTTGATACATATTTTTTCCAAGTGTCACTTTTTAAAAAGTTACACACTCAGAATACAACCCTTAAATTTGCTTCTTGTAAATACAAGAATGGGCAAAAGTTAAGGTAGTATATTATGAAGGTAAGTGCATTTAGCGTCACATATGAACTTAAGGCCTTAGTTTCTTGATTGTGATTTCAGTATTAGCAACAATGTTTTCCCCTCATGCTTACACATACAAGTAAGCAGGCAGACAAAAATTTCTAAACATGTAAGGAATGAAGACAATTTAATCTGTTATCAGTCAATAGAGTTGGACTCTAACCAGTGGTAGTAAAATAACCTGATCACATTTCATACAGCAATTAAAAGGAACAGAAAGTAAGTCTATACAACTGGAGTATTTCCTGATCTGTAAAGCAATTAAGTACACTTTTTTTTTTTTTTTTTTTTTTTTTGCAGATGCTACCCAGACTATAATCTATCTCAAAACCAACCACTGCATAATGCATTTTGTAGAATGCCTATCTTAAAAATACAATGTATTTCGTAGTGTTTATTACCAATGAGGGGTAGGAATTTCTAGCCTAAACACCTAAAGCAAACATATACATGAGACTATTCAACAGTAGCCTGTAATACAAGCTTATGATAGAAAATTTCTCACGTATTAAATAGCATTTTATGTTCATTATTTCAGTCACATCAAATTAATACAAATATTTTTTTCTACAAAGTGACCAAAAAAAAGATACCAAACTAGAATCAGGAAAGTAGATTTCTAGCTCCAGCTCTACCTCTATCTACCAACGAGACATGGGGAAAGTTCTCTTAACTCTCATACAGGCCTCAGATTCCTCAACTTTAAAACAAGGGGGTTGAACAAAATGACTTCTAAGGAGCATTCCCATAAAACGAGATTTTGTTAAATTTTGAGAACTTCAATTTTTTTAAAAAATGACAGCCATGAAATGTCAACGTTGATACTTATCACCGATAATGTAGATTATATAGAGTTTAAGTCAAGGAATTACTAATTCTTCATTTATGGGACAAAAATCAAAACTCTTTCTAGCATGCTTTTCATTATCAGGAAGGGAAAGGAATTTTACAGTGACTGTGAAGTATACAATGGAAACATTACCTGCAGTAGCATGCCAGTAATGGAGAGGTGTTACTTGTGTTTGTTTTTAGTAACTTTTGCATATAAGCAAGAGGTTCTATATAGAAGATACCACAGAGCCAATGACACAATACATGTGACTTGACAAATCAAAATACACTTAAAATGAAGAGACAACTAAAATACTTATGACCGTTCACTCATTTATAAAATGTATGCACAGACCTGGGCCTAATATGCTTCAATGGACCATATCAAGTCCCAAAGTCCAATCTCCCTTTCAGATAGAAGCTTATCTTTTACAAAACCAACACCTATTTTTGGGGTCAAAATTCACTTGTATTAGATTATACTCGGTTTAAAAAAAAAAATTGAATACATTTTCTGATTCCAAAATTTCCTATGCTAATACATATGAAATAAATGCAAACCCTATAATGCATATTTATACTAAAAATGTGTTTCACACAGATAAGTTTGCAAAGAATAATGGCATTTCTCACAAAGAAGATTCCCAAGGCTTGCTCAATAACAAATTTCTATAATGGGAATTTACTTTGAGTGTTGAATTGGGCAGGAAAAACACCTACTTTTAACTCTTTTTTATAAAATATTATATAGGGAATTATTAGGCTCATTAAAAAGCACTTGACTAGAACAACCAAGAACAAGTCTTTCTTGAGAAGATAAAAAAGAACTTGTTTAAAATGGGATAAACACAATAAAGCCACAAGGCATACACATAAACTGAAAAAAATTACAACACTTTTATCCTCATGATATTTGCTTATTTTATATTATCTTGACGACAAACTAATCATGATTTTCCAAAATATCAAAAGTGGCTTGAAATTTATCAATTCCTTTCCTTAATAGAATGAGGACTTTCACCTACAAATATTGTAATATCTGGAAGGGTTTCAATTCGAGATAAAATTATGCATTATAAATTTCAAATTATCACAGAGTGGACTCCCTGGTATCCCCTTCTAATGACACAACAGACACAAACAAGCTATCGAGCAAGAATCTGTTAACAGTTTTATTTTTTTTTATGTTAAATACCATGGGACAGGATTGTAAGGATGAAAAATTCAGTCAACAACTGCCTCACAAGGGATAAGAAAAATTCTGCCATGATATTAGCAAAGGTAAAGGAGAAAATTTACACTGTAAGAGGCACCATTTCCCCACAGAATACCTCTTGGCATTTCCTGAATGAGTGGGATTAGCAATCTAAATAAATCATATTTCAAGAGGTAACAGCAACAGATAAAATTTAAAGGATTATTAAAATAACATTTACAAGACTCTGAACAATTCTTGAACTCTTATTAAAACCACAAAGAAAGAACAATTCTTTATTTATGAATTTCATAAAGGACTGAATGTGCAACTGACATCTGCTAGTGATGATCTGGTAATACACAATTTGTCCAGGAGCCGAACAAGTTGGTATATTGTTTTCTAACCGTAAGAGATCAGTAAAGGCAAAGCCTATATGACGCTGTACACACAAAAATGGTCACCGTGGGCCATACTACCAATGAAATGGTAGGTAAACAAATCATTTTCTGGTCAAGAGAAAATAAAAGAAATAGCACTCTGCATGCTTCACTCTACAAGATGAATTTCCCTAGAAAGAATCCAATGAAAATGGCTGCAATTACAACAAGAAGTGAAGGAAGAGGACTGGTGACATTATCTCTGAAAGATGCAGGTGAGGTCGATCCAGGTTTATCCGAGTGTGCTACCTTTCTGAGCCTTAAGCCTTCATCCTAGAGAGAAAAAATATATGCAAACACAAAAAAGAGGTTTTAAATATAAATATGCACATAATAAGACTACTGAGCTAAAAATCAATAGACAGTATGCATGTGGTTAAGGATGGGAATAAAACTAACTGGTATAAGAAAACTAGTTTCTAGGGTGATGCAAACAACCTAAAACTGGTTCCTAGTGAAGGCTACACAATTTTATAAATTTACTAAAATCACTGAATTGTACACTCGCAATGAGTGCCTTTACAGAATGTAAATTATACCTCAATAATGCCGATTTTAAAAACTGAAGCTAAGAAATACAATCTTAAAAGCATAAAAAATCAGATACGGTTATATATACATAGAAGGAAAATCCCATTAAAATTAATACAATTAGCCGGGACCAGTTTGGCTCAATGGATAGAGCGTTGGCTTGGGGACTGAAAGGTCCCGGGTTCGATTCCGGTCAAGGGCATGTACCTTAGTTGCGGGCATATCCCCAGTGGGGGGTGTGCAAGAGGCAGCTGTTCGATGACTCTCATCGATGTTTCTAACTCTTTATCTCTCTCCCTTTCTCTCTGTATAAAATCAATAAAATATATTTTAAAAAATTAATACAATTAAAGTGTTCTGTGCATGCACTTATTTCCAAAGTGGCCCATAGTATTTTTACATTGGTTACACCTGTCTTAGCCCCACCAGCCAAAGACTACCAGAAACAAAACTGCAGTCTGACAGATTTACTTCCTCATTGCAAGCGGAGCACCCTCTAGCAGAGGCACAGGTAATAAATACCTCACCGAAGAGGCAGGCCTTGATAAGTTCAGAATGAAATTTAAATAATGGTGTTTTGATATGCTCCAAGCAGAAGGGCTGTGTGTAAAAGAGCTAGCATTGGATCTGAACTGCAAAGTAGACACTGAATTCTGTTTCTTTAGAAACTACAAATTACAAGAGATGTGAAATGTTGTATAAGAATCCCATCCAAAGCTCTGCACATGGACCAAACAGGGAGGCTGCTTCTCTGTACCAAAGTGACTTTGATGCTCCAGACAAGAGTGGGCAGCTTCGTTCTTACTGTTATGATGGTTTCACATAGCAAATTTTCTGACAGTCTATGATTTAGGGGACAATGTTTCTCATTAAGACAGCAGTAGTCACTCTAAATAGGAAGTTGTTATTGCACTTTATCTGCTGCAGTATTTTGGGGAAAATACTGATATCTGTACCTGGTACCTAGGCAATTAGCTTTGTCAACCAGATGAATAACAAGGCACATTTTTATTTTCTCAGAGCAAGCTAATTTTTATTTCCTCACACTAATTCCTCTAGTGTACCAGGTAAATGAGTTCACCTGATGTCATACCTTTTTATTTGCATTACTAGATTTTCTGAGTATTTGTGGTTATTTTTGATATTATGCTAGTTAATCTTGTGTGGAGAAATAGTGATTCCCAGCAAGAACTTAAAAAAATGTTCCTGCCCTAGCCGGTTTGACTCAGTGGCTAGAGTGTCAGCCTGCGGACTGAAGGGTCCCAGGGTTCAATTCCAGCCAAGGGCACATGCCCGGGTTGTGGGTTCAATCCCCAGTAGGAGGCATGCAGGAGACAGCCAATCAATGATTCTCTCTCATCATTGATGTTTCCCTCTCTCTCCCTCTTCCTTCCTCTCTGAAATCAATAAAGAAATTAAAAATAAAAAAGGTTTCTAAGTGATTCTGATTCATGAGGTCTGGGGAGGGGCTGGCCAGGTGCATTTTTAAACAGCTCTCTGGGAGATTCAGATAAGGGACAGATTAAGAACCACAGAGATAGAAGCCCTGGCAGGTTTACTCAGTGATTAAAGCAATGGTCCATGGATGGAAGGGTCTCATGTTCCAATTCCTAGTCAAGGGCTCGTATCTTAATTGCAGGTTCCATCACTGACCCCTATCAGGGTGCATGCGGGAGGTAGTATCTCTCCCTCTCCCTCTCCTTCCCTCCCCTTTCCCCTTCCTCTCCTTCCACTCTCTCTAAAAATTAATGGAACAAAATATCCTTGGGTGAGAACTTAAAAAAAAAAAAAAGGGGGGGGGGGGGGTGATTAGATATCAAGAAAGTTAATCTGGCACCAAATTATGAAGGGCCTTATGTAAGAAAGACTGAAATTGATTCTATAAACCAGTGGTCTTTTTATCTGTCTTTTATCTTCTAGACAGCAGAATGCTCTTTTTCAAGTAACATCTCCTAGAGAACATCAGCCTATAAAACAGCTGATAGAATTAAGTCTCACTTGCCCGTCTCCCTGTTCACTCTTCCTATTTTCCAGCCCTGCCCTACCTGTGCCAGTCCTACCCACCATTCCCACTTCTCTTCTCCCTGCCAAGAAATAAAGTGGTTTTTTTAACAAATACAATGAGCATATTAAGGAACATAACTTTCATCAAAGAACACAACTGTACTAGTCATGGCAGACAAAGTAACGGTAACAAAAACTGCATGATGTGTGAATATGAAATGGAGATAATTTTTCCACTATGCAGACAGGTGGGGGTAGGGGGGTCTCTAAGGGGATACTAAGAAATATGAAGAGATAGCCAGAAAAATTATTTCAACACATTATCAATTCAAGATACAGTGCCTCTGATTCAGAAGGTAGTTCCTATGTGCCCGGCTCTGTGGTTAAGTGTTGACTTATGAACCAGGAGGTCACAGTTCAATTCCAGGTCAGGGCACATGCCTGGGTTGCAGGCTCGAGCCCCAGGGGGGCATGCAGAAGGCAGCCGATCAATGATTCTCTCTCATCATTGTTGTTTCTATCTCTCTTTCTCCCTCTCCTTTCCTCTCTGAAATCAACAAAAATGTATTTTTTTAAAAAAGTAGTTCCTTTATAATACTTAAACAGAATAATCAAATGTAGATCAAGTTCCATAATATAGCTTATTTACTCATACATTTTTGTATCATCTACTTAGATATAAAAAATTCAAAGCCTTAAAAAGAAATTTAAAGGTATTCAAATCTTGAAATAATTACTTGTGAAAGACTAATTATTAATAAATGCCATGAACATTCAAATTAGTCCTTAATTCACCAGCCTGTTCATTTATTCATTCAAATCTACTCATGTCTTCTATATGCATGTGCTATGAATACAAAGATGAATCCACACACACAATCCTTGCCCCCAAGAAAATTACTGCCCACAAAAGAAAGAAACACCTCCAACAAGTAACAGGTGTGATGGAAACAAAGGAGATATCATTCCCAAACAAATTTTCTTTTCTTTTTCCTTTTTTTTGGAGGGAAGAGTATCCTAAAAAAGGTTACACTAAAAATGACAAGAAAGAAGTACCAAGATATGAAAATGCATGTCTTTGCTGCGAGGGTAGGAACAAGAACTCAAGGCATTCCAGTCAGAGGGAAGAACTTAAGCTAAAGCAAGAGAGATAATAAAACAGAGAGGATTCTTCAGGAAACTATAGTCCAACACATCCCAATACAAATATAATTTTAACTTCAAATGTGAGCCACATATGTAATTTCAACTTTTTTAGTAGGACATTAAAAAAGTAAAAAGAGCCAAAACCGGTTTGGCTCAGGGGATAAAGTGTCAGCCTGCAGACTGAAGGGTCCCAGGTTCGATTCTGGTCAAGGGCACGTACTTTGGTTGTGGACACATCCCCAGTAGGAGGTGTGCAGGAGGCAGCTGATTGATGTTTCTCACTCTCTATCCCTCTCAATTTCTCTCTATAAAAAAAAAAATCAATAAAATATATATTTTTTAAAAAAAAGTAAAAAGAAACTGGCAAAATTACTTTTAATAATATATTGTATTCAACCCAATGTAACTGAAATATTATCTCAATATGTAATAATACAAAAAAATGACATTTTAGTTTTTTGGCATAAGTCTAAGAAATCAGTATGTATTTTCTACTCACAGCATATCTCAATTCAAATTAACCACATTTCAAGTGCTCAACAGCCCCAGATGACCAGTGGCTGGCTACTCTATGGACAGCAGGCAATTCATAAGACTGGGGCACAGAATGTGAAGAGTACAAACAAGAGAGGAAGCTAGCAATGCCTAGAAAAGTCATGGTAAAACTGTCAAAAGAGGCTGGGAGAGGAGAACAAAGGGCAGGACATAATAAAATTGGGGGAAAAGGGGGAGGAGGAAAGTGACCAAAGATAAATTTAAAAACTGATAAGATGGCCTAATAATATTCACATATCCTATGCCTTCATTTAAATCAACGTATTTTCAAAATCAACTTACTCTCAGGTATCGATTTTCTTCTGATAGCTTCATCACTTCTGCCTGAAGTCTTTTACATTCTTCCATGAGTTTCCTTGTTTCAGTGTCATTGAGTGAAACACTATGTGGTTTTGGCATGGGTCCATCTTGTTTAGATGCATTCAGTGGAACAGCTTTGCTAGGTTCCATATCATTCTGTATTACAAAGACATTGGAAATTTTTTTAACTGACAAATCTCTTTACTGGTTTTAAACAAATAAAATTTAAGCTCCACCAACTTCTTTTTAAAAGAAAATTACTTAAAAATTTTGACAATTTTCAATTAAGAACTTTTTTGATAGCAAATGTTATGGTCACCTGTGATCAATTTTAGAAGGACTAAAGCAATAAATGTTAGCAGTTAGATAAGAAAATTAGCCCACTCCCTCCTCTACTCCCATACCCTTTGCACTTACCTCTACCAAAGCACTTATCATATATCATAATAATGTATTTTTTATGTTCTTTCCTACAATACTTCAAAAGCTGGAAGAGCAAGAGTCATTTCTCTTTATATTTACCCCTTAACCCAGCACTTTGACCAACAGTAGTTATTCAATGCAAGCATGTTGAATGATGACAAGCAAATAGGAAGGTCATTTTTTTTCAGTGCTCTGAGTCTGCAATTCAAATGAGTTTCTGGGAGGTAGGGGGAATATCATCATAATCATTCCAATAAAATTAGGACACTAAGAAAAACATTTGAAAACCTAACTTCACCAAAGAACTTATATGCATATATGCATAACCCATGGACAGAGTAAAGTGTGGTGAAGGCCTGGGAAAGGAGCAAGAACAGGATGGAGGGGATCAATAGGCAGGAGATTTGAGAAAACATTTTTAATACTTTCAACAATAAAGATAATTTTTTATAAAAAAAAAAAAACCTAACTTCAATTAAAGGAGGAAAAATGACTGAATAATATAAACCTTCAAGGGGATATACTGAACACAAACATATCATGGAGAAAAAAAAAAAAAAAAAAAAGAGGAAAAGAGGTAATCCCATGATTCTTTCAAATAATATCACTGTTGTTTTAATTCACCAAATTCAATATGGTATCACAGTACATAGACACTTTTAAAACTATGAGCCCCAAAAATCTTAATTCTTACCAATACTTATCCATTTGAAATTAGTGGCAAAAGTGTGAAGATAAATATCTAAAGCAGTACCTAAGTACTCCTGAGCCTGTGATCTAAAGTGCCTCCATATCCTTCAATCCTAACATCACTTATCTTAGCACTACAACATAACAATATTAGTGCTAGTGATCTTTTTAATTAAAATTTCACTTGCTTATAATTTAATTTTAGATTAAAAAATATATGAACTTTTATTAACTTTATAAACTTCTAACAAAAATATTTCCAAATTAACTTTACTCATTAATGAAATTTTAATTACAGAGTACATCCCTATCAAATCACCCCAGCTCCTAAATTTGTATTAAGTGCAAATAAACTGTTCAAGGGGCAAAACTAGTATTTTCTTTATATATATATATATAATTTTATTGATTTTGTACAGAGAGGAAGGGGGAGAGATAGACAGTTAGAAACATCGATGAGAGAGAGTCATCTATCAGCTGCCTCTTGCACACCCCCTACTGGGGATATGCCCACAACCAAGGTACATACCCTTGACTGGAATCGAACCCGGGACCCTTCAGTCCCCAAGCCGACACTCTATCCACTGAGCCAAACTAGTCACGGCAAAACTAGTGTTTTCTTATAAAGGCATGTGATTTGATCATTATGCCTAAATCCATGTAAAACATTGTTATAATGAGGCTATAATGTACATTCTATAGTATTTGACCTGGATTTTTTTCCATTTTTCTTAGAAATATTACAGTTGTGAATGATTATTTTAAGAAGGCTACTTTAATTTTCTTCTGAGTTTTTCTCTTGCTGGCTCTCTTGTTCTTAACCCTATCCTTCCCTATCCCCAACTAATCCTATCTCTATTATAAAAAATAAGTTTCAGATATATTTTGCTCTCCACCCATATTATTTCTTATTCGCTTCCTTTAACAGTAATTATATTTTAAAATGATTTTTCAAGTGTGTTCAAATTCCAACCTACAACAAGTCCAACTTCTGAAAACGAGGGTGGCATGTTGCCTTCCTCTGTAAAAAAAAGGCAATAGTCAAAAATATCGCAACTGAGAAATCTTTAGGTTTTGGTTAAGAATTGAAGAAAAAATATCATGCTCATATAAAAAAATTGCCTAAAAAATTAAAAGGAGATTCATGAGGCCAACAAGTGAAAAGGAAAAAAAAATTATCAAACTCTTCACAAATGGATTTTTATTTTTAAATCAATTGAAATTTCAGAAAATTTATAATTGAGAGGAAGAAATTACCTCCCATTATCTCATCAACCCAACTATTATTTATGTTATCTTCCAATATTTTTTCATAAGCACATTTTTTTAAATTTTAATCTTTATTTAATTATATGCATATCTTTATTTTAAATGACAACATATATCATTAAATATTCTATCCTGTGCTTTACCAAAATTACTTGAACATTTCACTCAGACATTTAATGGGTAGCTTCCTACTCTTTGGGATATTTAATCGGTTGCTTCCCACTCTTTGGGATTTAAGTAACATGTCAATAAATATCTTCTTACAGTGGTAGAATTATATTTTCTTTTCTATTGAAATTTTCCTTAATGTTGTTATATTGCTTTTATAACCAAAAGAAGAAATGTCATAACCAACTTGTTCAGTATAAATGTAAGATTAGGAATGCAACAGATACAGTGAAGCTTAAACACATTTCAAGAATGAGCCAAGTCAGTCATGGAACAAGTTACATGGAGTGCAATTGTATCATGTACTATTTAGGGCCCCTACAAACCAGTCAACATACATAAGAGATGCAAAGAAATCTAATTTATTTATGTATATTTGAAATATAAGCATTATAACCTAACTTAGTTGGGGATTAAAAGGAGGGGTGGGCTGAGTCATTCATGTAGTAACAATTTGAAGAGCCTGATGAGAAACACTAAGGCTGCTGTGACTTTAAATATATGCTTCCATTCAGGAGCTCCATTAGTGAGGTTTGGCTCCAGGAAAACAGCTTGTTCTTGAGAGTTGCTTCAGACTGGTCCAGAAAGTGGAGATTGGTTGTTCTAAGAACCATGAAAAAGGCAAACTAGAGGGATTCAACATGCTGCAACACTTAGGAAATTGATGAATAGTAACATTACATTAACTTTTTTAATGCTGTAACTTAGAATAAACTAAAAAATCAAGGCCGTAATATCAATTAAGAAAATGTACACTACCTTGTACTTTTACCAGTTTTATATTATTTAGCCTATCTGCAGTGATCCCTTCTCCATCTGTGAAATGAATTTACTTATGTATTTTTTTTTTAACAACTTTCAGGTCCAATATGCTAAGTAATTTCTATTGGGGATAATTAGACAAAAATGAACTAGGGATTGGAACTTGAGAAAGGTAAAATATAAGGCAAAGTAACTTTCACAATGAAGTCTTGGGAAGGACAAGGGAGCTAAAGAATATAAATATGCGACTTTATTCTTGTGACTATTATGAGTAAGGGGTGTAAATATATAAAGTTAAAGCCTAGAGCTAAGACATCAAACCGTTCAGAGGCATAATTAAGGCCTTATCCTTGGAAAAGACAATATCTGAATAATAAGGTTACTGATTATATAGTAACAATCAATTCTGTTACTCTAGGTTCATCAATAACTAATAATGATAAATTTACATAAAGGATCATTTAAAACAAATATTTAATCCTCACTTGAGGATATGTTTATTGATTTTAGAGAGAGAGGAAAGGGGAGTGAGAGAGAGAGAATAGTGATGTGAGAGAAAGACCAATTAGTTGGCTGCCCTAGGTGTTCTGACCAGGGATCCAAACCCCAACCTTTTGGTGTACAGGACAACGCTCCATCCAACTGAGCTACACGGCCAAGGACAGGATCAGATGTTTTAAACCAAACATATTCTCTGCAAAGCCAAATCAAAGCATAAGAAACCTATTCACTGTGGGATTCCTGGGGTTTCCAATTAGCAAAAAATGCTGAAGGAGTCATACAGCAACCATTATACTACCTGCAAGTTTACACACACACACACACACACACACACACACACACACACACACACACGAAGACATTAATAAATTCAAGTATGACCTAAGATCTTTAGGGCTTATACCACAAATTTTCCTACCATGGGGCATTTGTAAATAATCATGAAAATTAAAAAGGGGTTACTATTATTTGTTATTTGATAACAAACATAAAATAATTTCACTTTTTAAATATATATATAAACACAAGTACTTGCCTGGAAATCAAATGTTTGCCAGCTCCTACCTTGACTGCCATACCTGCTAGTCTATTCAGATCTGCACCTAACTCCCTTTTTAAAGGATGCTCCCAAAATCTCAGTGACAGGGAAAATTATAGCAATTTCATATTAATGTTCAAACTTACATTTATTCTGCTCACTACTGAGATTTCATTAAGTGTTAAATTAATAAATTTAATAATAATCTGTGTGCATTAAAGAGAATAATCTGTGTACATGATTTTTAAGTGAACTGTGGTTCAGTGATCTTAACCATAGTTGAAAAGTTCAATTCTATTATTTCACATAATACACTCGCAATACCACGTATGGTAATTTACATTAATATAGCCAGTAAAACTAATAGACTCCTATTTCTGTTAACTCCCTAAAACAAACCTTCTGCTTCTCCTGTTTGAACACATTGAGTCCCTTGGGGTCATTCTTCGTGCTATAACTGGAAGGAGTTGCACCTGGCTTGTTGATGATGCTTACTGAAGTGACAGCTGGAGCAGTCCCTGGTGGAGTTATACCCTGAGGTGGCATGGGAAACATATTCTCAGATTCACACCAAAGTCTGGGTTCTCCTGCATGGTATTGGGAATGACTAACACAGAAATCATTAGGCTCTAAAACATTCACATTTTATTCTATAAAAAGGTGTTATACATAATAAATATTAGTAATAAATAACTATGTTAACTATGAACTTTTTAAATTATTTCCCAAACAAAATTAGCTATCATCAATTTGTATTCTGTTCACAAATTAAATATATACACCTTACTAAATTTATGCTAGCCTCATAGTGTCTGAAAAAATGAATACCTTCACCGAAACCTGTTTGGCTCAGTAAATAGAGCGTTAGCCTGCGGACTGAAAGGTCTCAGGTTCGATTTCGGTCAAGGGCATGTACCTTGGTTGCGGGCACATCCCTAGTAGGGGGTGTGCAGGAGGCAGCTGATTGATTTTTCTCTACCATCAATATTTCTGACTCTCTCTCTCTCTGTAAAAAAAATCAATAAAATATATATTTTTTAAATGAATACCTTCTAACTTTGTGGCTCTGAATTTTACTAATCAATAGCTGTCAATATCTAAACAATAAACACTTCATATTTTCTTACCTTTGATAACATTGAACCTGAAAAATTTTTTAAGTTAAATGAAATTTCCCCTTGAAGTTAAAAACTAAGTGAGTTATAAACCTCTTCTGTACTTAATGCTACCATCCCTCCCCCCAAATACACACACACACACACACACACACACACACACACACACACAACCTCCCTCTCCCAAGACCAATAAATTAATTTAAAATGCACATAACATTCCATTATATCATTATCTCCATTCTCTTATCTTCTCAAATTTCTCTCATGTGGATAAAAATATTACCAAAAAAAAAAAAAAAAAAAAGGAACAGACTACGAAATAATACTTATTGGTAACTAGGTTATTGTATATAATAACTAAGAGAAATCTATCTTACTTAATAATCCACTATCCCCAATCTGTTCTTTGTCTCAATAGAAAAAAAGTATTATTTATTCATAAAATGTCTATAAAGTCCCCTAAATGACCTTTTCTTGACAGTCCTTCATTCTTCATTAAGACAAATTATTGTTTTTTCCTAGAAAAAGTCATTAACAGATGTTTTATATATAGGGCATAAACAAAATCCAATACATTTCTTAAAATTGGGAAAATGTTAAGTAAAGTTGCAAAAAAAAAAAAAAGTTGAACCCAAAGAATTGGTTATAAACATTCAATCCTGAAAAAAAAAAACACTTTACTAACTGGACATTAGACTTAATACAGAGTTGACAGTAACTAAAAGGAGCTAATAATTCAGAAAGCCTCACTTAATAAAATATAGAATAGTCAATGTTTTAGTATCATCTGCCTCCTGCAAGAACCATGTTGAATGGTTCTCAGTATGAGCACTGAACATAACAACTGAACTCCATGGGCCACTAATTTACTGAAATATATCCAGCCAAAGACTGTTCCATAGGACTAGGGAGACCACACATTTCAGTGTGCTTAAAGGCAATATTAGCTAATACCTGTTATCCAGGAATAATTATTAATAGTTCCACCTTTTATTCCAGAGCCAAAGGTCCTTGGATTCCTAGGTAACTCTTATCTATGATACAAATTAGATAGCTATTTCCCAAAAAGAAGCCCACATTCTGATGATGGTTCACATAAATTAGAATTCTTCTATTAATAAAAAAAAAAAAACTTCTTTAAACTATAAAAATAAAAGCATGAACTCACCATTATACTTCTAAAACTGGCACCTTTTTTATTCTACAAGATTGACAATAAAACTTCAACATTTATATAACTAATATCCAAGTCCTAAAAGAATTGACAAAAATCAATAAAACAACATAGCCTTTTCCAATATTTTTAGAATATGCATATGTCCAAGAAGAGCATACCTAAAAAGATCCAGATCCTCAAACAGATATACTATAATATGCTTCAATTAAATGCCTATCTACTTGTTGGAAGGGAAGTGTGGGGTATAGGAAGGTGGGCAAGGAGTTGCCTGCAGAGATAGGTTTGAGTGGGATGGGTGCTTAACATAAAAAACAAAATGGTAAAGTCTAAGACCTGCTCACTACACCAACTTTGAGAAAAAAGTATTAGCAACTATGATAGCTACTGTATATCTATCTATTTTGGATATGCTAACTAAATTTTAGACCCTAAATTCTGATGAACAACTCTTTAAAATAAATGAGTAAGAAACCACTAACTGAATATGGACTTCTCCAGTGCCCTGAACACTAAATATGCCATCCTGAAAGTTTATTTGCATATTAAACCTGAAGTTGTCACAAAATAAACTGAATTGTTTCAATTAACATACCTTTTTTTTTTTTTACAACACATTACAAATACACCAAAATAAAAGAATAAAGGTCAATTTCAAGTAATTCACTATAAAGCAGTCCTATATAATAAAGAAATAATATGCAAATTGATCCTCACTCCAACACACAAGATGGCCGCCCTCATGTGGTCAAAGACGGACCCCACAAGATGGCCAGCAGGGGAGGATAGTTGTGGGCAATCAGGTCAGCAGGGGAGGGCAATTGGGAGAGACCAGGCCTGCAAAGAAGGGCAGTTGGGGGTGACCAGGCCAGCAGGGAAAGGAATGCAGGGGAGGGCAGTTAGGGGCAAACAGGCCAGCAGAGGAGGGCAGTTAAGGGTGACCAGGCAGCAGGGGAGGGTAGTTGGGGCAATCAGGCCAACAGGGGAGCAATTAGGTGTCGATGCACTGGCAGGAGAGTGATTAGGGGCAATCAGGAAGGCAGGCAGGTGAGTGGTTGGGAGCTAGCAGTCCTGGATTGTGTGAGGGATGTCTCAATTAGAGAGGGTTGGGATGGGCTGAGGGACACTCACCCACGCTCCCCTGCCCGTACATGAATTTCAGGCCTCTAGTCATACTATAACTAAAAACTCTATTTTTAACATTTTTGTTAATCTTAAACATTTAGAAATATATTTTTCTTGAATAGGGGAATGTCACCTTTAATCAAGTCAGAATTCAGCTTTTATCAATAACTAGAGGCCCGGTGGATAAAACTTATGCACTTGGGGAGGAGGGAAGCAGGAGTCTCTCAGCCTGGCTTTTTGAAGTCCAGAAGCTCTCAGGGGATGTCTTATCCCAGTGCCCAAATTAGGGTCTTGAAATACCCTCTCCCACTAAAAGGAGCCAAAGCTTCTTGAAGAATGGCTGATTCCAGGTCTAGGTCTTGTCATATTAGACATCAAGGAAATTACCAAAAACTACGAAGGTAAAAAGGACTCAGGAACCAATCTAATGAGGTTCCTACTAGCCAATCTGAGCACTAATAATGACAGTAACTGCAAGGAGTTGAAACAAAGATATGCTGAAGTTTATATCAAGACAGAAAAAGAGGGAAGAAGGCCTTGAAGGAGCAAGGGAGGCTGCCTGACAATACATCATATCAGAGGGACACTTATGAACTCATTTTTTAAAAGCCTATAACTGAAGAGAAAGACTTGGAACATTTATCCTGCCTTAACAAACTATGGCTGAATGAATAACCAAATATTATTTGGGCACAAGTTTCTCTCTATACAGGTACTCTACTAATATAAAGAAGCAGGAATGACAAAATATCACTATTATGCAAACTTTAATGAATAGACCTAAATCATGTATTTTTTTAATTTCAACTCTTGACATTTTGGGCTTGATAATTCTTCATTGCGGTGACCGGGGAGGGCGGGGGTTATCCTATGCATTGTTAGAACATTAATAACATATTAACACATTGCGAACCAGTAGTTTCATTGCTAGCTTTACCCAGTGGCCAGATAAGTTTCTATTGAACGAGTACAAAAAAAAAGTTTTATATAAATGTTAAAGGCACGCTTTAAAATTAAATACCCATTGCATTTTGAAGTTACTTATTACATGTTCTTAAAAGCTAATATCTTTTTAAAGTATGATACTTTATAAAATCCTATGTAATAGGAAGCGAGAATTCTCATGATCCATCCGCAATATGTTAAGCTTATAGGCTCGTTGGTAGTATTGTCATTAAACTGTTTTCCCTTTATTAGTTAAAGTCCTTGTACTTGAATGATACATACTGAAATAGTTATAGATGCAGCTATATCACATCTGGAATTTGTCTTAAAACAATGTGAGATGGGAAGTAGTGAGATTTTATAAGATTAATAATAAACTGGTAACTGTTAAAACTGGCCATAGGTTCATAGGAATTCTATGTACTGTATACTGTTCTAAGGGTTAAAATAGAATGTTAATAAAACATTATCTTCAACAAATATTCCCTACAACATAATCAGCCAATAACTGTACCTCAAGTCCAAGTAGCTCAGTTAGTGCAAATACAATTTGCATCTAGTTCATCCAGGCTCAAAATCAGATATTCTCTGGAGTACTCTGAAATTACTGATCAGACTTTGGGTTATTAAAAATACCTGGTCTAAAAATTTCCAGGAATAAACTACTTCTGCTCATGTTCCATGGTGTGGGACTCTGGGGACTACATTCAGTATTTATTCAAGGCATTTAGCAGATCCAAAACCACTTTCTTGAATTACTCTGGTAGTATTGTCAGTAGATATATCTCCTACTCCGCTCTATAAGATTAAATAGCTATTATAGTATTAACTATCATTTCCATCAACTTCTGGTTTGGTTTCCAAAACAGTGAAAACTACTCTTGATCAGCAGTATCAAATACTTGACTTCCAACCCCTTTCACACAATAATCTCAATTTTTCTGCTATTCAGAGCATAACAGAAGTCCAGATGAAAGACAGCTCTAAGTTTATTAAATGCTAGAGGCCCGGTGCACAAATTTGTGCACAGGTGGGGTCCCCTGGTCTGACCTGAGCCCTCTCCCAATCCAGGACCCTTGGAGGCTGTCAGACTGCTGATTTTGGCCCAATCCCTACATGCCAGGCTGAGATCCCACTGGTACACATGCAACAGCCCTCTAGTATGCAAATGAGATTTTTGGTTAATCTCTTCCTGCCCTCTCCCTCACCCCTCTGAGATTCATCAGTCTGTTCCATGTTTCAATGCCTGTGCATTGAACATCTGCCCCCTGGTGATCAGTGCACATCATAGCTACCAGTCGAAATAAATAAATAACATATATATAGAAAGAAAATATTCAAAAATATTTTTTAAATAAGTCAACTCTTATTCCAAAGAATTTCACTTTTTGGATTTTATCGGAAAAGCAGTACGTCAAAGAGATACCTGCACTCCATGTTTACATAGCACTACCTATCAAAGCAAAGACATGAAAATAACCTAAGTAATCATTGACAGAAAAATGGTTAAAAAGTTGTGGTGTAACTACACATTATAGAGTATTATTCAGCCATAAAACAAACAAAAAAGAAGTAAATCCTGCTATTTGCAACAACATGGATGAACCTTAAAAGGGCATTATGCTAAGTGAAATAAGAGAGGTAGACAAATACTGTATGATCACACTTAGATGTGAACTCATAAAAATAAACTCATAGAAAAAGATATCAGATTTGTGGTTATTAGAGGTAGGAAATGGGATAGGGGACTTGGTCAAAAGATATTTAAACTTCCATTGTAAGATAAATAAGAATTGGGGATATAATATACTTCATGATGACTACAGTTAACATTACTTCATGATATATTTGAAAACTGTTAAAGTAAATCCTAAGAGTTCTTATCATAAGGGGGGAAAAAAAACTTTCCTTTTGCATTTGTATGAGATAATGAATGGTAACTAAGCTTAATGTGGCAATCATTTCACAATATATAAAGTCAGTCATTATGCTTAAATTTATACAGTGATCTATGTCAACTATATCTCAAAACTGGAAAAAATAAATAAAATGATAAAAATTTTGCAAATTATTGGCTTGCTAGCAGCCTAGGCAAAGAGAAAACAAATTCTAAAAGGAAAGCATAAACATGCTAACCCCACTCTCTAGTAAGAATATATGCATTCACATTTTTTATTTCAGGTAAATACCCCAAAATCCCCTTTAAAAGGCATTTTAAAGCAAAATAAATAATTTGATCAACACCTAATCACCATTCAGGGACTTTTTCATTTCAACCTAAAGTAAAAGAGTAACAAAATAATCAAGCCTATGTATTTAATCTGCACATTTATTTATCAATAGGGCAAAGAGCCTCCAAATCAAGGTAATAGTCATATCAGATTGCAATCTAATAACTGTAACGAACAATTCTATTTATTCATATTATTTTAGATATTAAGTCATCCATCCCCCCCCAAAAAAACAAACAAACAAACAAAAAAAACAATTTACCTTTCAAGCCCCCTACAATCACAGATAGGTTCAAATTTACATTTCAAAAGGGGAATACAAAAAGTGACCACAACCATTCTATACATTCAAACTGTTTTAAATCTACACACATATATTCCTCAGTACCCCAAATTATATTTACCTCACACTAATCAAAAATCAACATAAAAATTACTTATGTTAAAGAATAAAGTCAGATTAAAAACAGCAAGATATTTATAAATTATCTTACAGTAAACAACTTACAGTAAGAAAAAAAGAAAATCAATTGAAATTTGACCAAAATCAATAATAAGCAAAATACTCGGGAATAGCCAAACTTGGAATAAACTGCTTTGTCCATCTAAACTAAACTTATTTTGTTTTATATCAGGTTGCTGGTATATAGTTGCCAAAAAAGTGACTTACATTTGTTACTTAATTATATTTATTCTAAAAAAGAACTTTATATTGTGTAAGTGGAAAAATTTTGGTAAAATTAAATGGTTTTCTCCATCAGGCAGCTTTAATGTAAAAGTATTTTTCTTCTTGAACAAACAAATGTTATTAAAATGAACAGAGAATTTCAAGTTTTTTTAAACTAAGTACTGACTCTTATAAAGTGGAATAGCCATTACTACATACCTCACAAAGATCAAAACAAAAGGAAAATTAATCTTAAAGGAACTGAGAGCTTGTTAATAGCTTCCAATTTTCTTACTTACCAATTTATCATTTTCATTGGGCATTTCAAAAACACATCTCAATTTAGAATCCATTAATTCGTCAGGTTTTGCCTCTTTCCACTATAAACAAATAAAACCAAACATGAGACAGAAGAGATATGACTGTGACAAATAGGCTTCACCTCAAGAGACAACTAAAAGATTAGTGTACCTGCTTAGAACAGAAGTGCTGTCTTTGGCTCAGCCAAGATGCAATACTGCATTGCACTCTGTATTGACCACCATACCACAGTTCTCTGGCAATGCCACAGAAATTTCTGAATAATCCTAAGAGCTACTATCATCACCATTAAAATCACACCACTAATATCTTTACAGAGATTACAGGACTTTCTTCTTAGGAGCATTTCTATAATGTTTCTAAAAAGTACTATTTCAAAATTCTTTCATTGTTACAGTTAGGATTATCTGTAATAAATAGACTTACAGATTTTTTTAAATTAGATTTCTCAACTGGTAATTAAACCCACAGTTTAAACAACATTCCCCAAAATAAATTCTGCTCAATTTCTATACTTACCACAGCTTCCATATCTGAAATGTTTGGTGGAGCAAAAATCGTCTGTACCATAAACTTGTGTTTACTCTTTTCATTAGGATCATAGTCAAAAGGCTGTAGCATTACTAAATAAAAAGAAAGAACACATTATATTGTCTTCTGCTTTTGTTTGCTTCTTATTCGTATTACCTGATTCACTAATGCTCAAATTTAAAGAAAACCAGGAAGGTTTCAAGAAACCAAACACTAGATTATTTACATTTAAGATCCAGAATCAACTTTATATTTTACAATTATTTTTAAATTTTACACCTTTCTGATTTGCTAAATCTTTAACAACCTACAAAATAAATAAGTGGCTATTTAAAAAATAAGCATCAAATTTATGACTGTCCCTCTAAACTTACGTTTGGGAAAGTTTTCAAAACTTTATCAAGGTTAAGTATTATCCTGCAAGCTTGGATTAAATCTACTAAATTTTCTATTAAAACTAGTTAAAAATTTAGGCTTCCATTTTAGTATAGATAATAAATCTTAAAATTAGACAACTGGGTTATTTAAAGGAGAAATTCTAAGTAACTTAAAAACTCACTACCATATATCAATATTATTAGTAATCTAATATAAATAATGTTTTAATTGATTTTTTTTTTAATCCTTACCAGTGGATAGGTTTTTATTGATTTTAGAGAAGGGGGGAGAAAAAGAGAAACATAGATGTAAGAAATAAATATCGATAGGTTGCCTCCCATATTCAACCTGACCAGAGATAGAACCCACAACCTAGGTACGTGCCCTGACCAGGAATCAAACCAACAACCAAGTCATCCAGCCAGGGCTAAAAATAGATTTTAAATAAACATCCTTTCAAGAAGTTTATCAATTTGTTTAAATCTGATTCTAAGAAAACAAAGTATATAAGGTCTCATGATGGTCTTAAGATTTCTAGAATTTTTCTAGCATTCAAATAATTATATGCAATATTTTCCCAAGCATTTGTGATTGTCAGTAGCCTATAAAAGAGGAGTTTTTTAGAGACTCCTTGTGGTTCTAAGTCATGTTAAATTATATAATATGAATGTAATAATAACTGCATCAGCAATTATATAAAATATATATGTAGTATTGTGAAAAATTATTCTTCCACTAATATTTAGATTGTTTCTAAGATATACCAGTATATGCATTTCAATACTTTTAGAAGACAAATACAACTAAGCAAACATGAAAAATATGAATTATATAAGCAAATATTATTTCTAAGCTATATCTGAGAGGTCCATCAACTTCCATCATGATTAAAAAAAAAAAAAAAAAAATTCTAGACCAAATACATAGCAGCAGAAACTGCACAGGATAAATACTTAGAATCCAAATAAAGCACAATAAATGTCCATTAATACTCTTCACTGAGCAATCATTACAGGCTAGTCACTAGAAACTAGATAAAAAAATAACTTTAAACATGACTATGATCTGATGACAAATACACTCTAAGACTGCAAATAACAAGAGGAAGACAATCTTAAAATATCTATACTAATAAAAGGGAAATATGCTAATTAGATCAAGAGACTTTCGGGAGGTCCTTCCGGACAAAGCCATGGAGGCGCGGCTGAGGCAGAGGTGGTTAGGAGTGAGAAGGCCAGCAGAGGGGGACAGTTGAGGGCGAGCAAGCTGGCAGGCAGAGTGGTTAGGGGTGATTAGGCAGGCAGGCAAGTGGTTAGGAGCCAGTGGTCCTGAATTGCGAGGGATGTCCGACGGTTTAGGCCCAATCCCAGCAGTTGGACATCCCCCAAGGGGTCCCAGATTGGAGAGTGTGCTGGCTGGGCTGAGGGACACCACCCCTCATGCACGAATTTTGTGCACTGGGCCACTAGTATATATAAAAAGTGTTGGGAAGGGGGGGTGTAGAATGAGTATATAAGTATAGACAGTCGATCAGGGAAAGTTACTAGAAAAAATTTAGTTTGAGTGACTCCTCATATGGAAAAGCACTACAGTGAAAATTGGAAGAGCTAAATTCGAATGGAAGGAGGGGGATCTCGGGGCAAATAATAGTGTGTCTGGAATTTTAAATAAGTCATGTGTTCAATACAAGGGGTTCATGTGAGAGAAAATGCTTTGAGAAGTACATAATTTTTAAAGAAACATTATTATAGTAAAACTTCAACAATCTAGAACTCTCAAAGAAAAAATCATTCTGAATAGTTTTATGGACTCCTAGGGATAGATATATAACTGTTTGCACCCAATACTATTTTTAATACAAGTAGAAATAATTGTTTTCTTCCAATTTATAGGGTCTAGTAATAATTAATGTCGTTTTAAAACATTTGTTTAAAATCTTGCTTGGCATTGACTTGTATTGACATAACCTTTAAACATGTGGTATCTACAGAACGTGTGAAGTGCAATTAACAAGTTTTGCTTGAAAAAGTTTGTGTTTGGTTTGGTTTTTGTTGCAAAACTAGGGCTAAGATGATGGCGGATGAAGAGCACATTCGGCACTGCATGCTTTACGAGTTCCAATTAGGAAGAAAAGCAAGTGAGGCTGCAAAAAACATCTGTAGTGCTCTTGGTCAAGATGCAGTTAGCGCCAGAAAATGCCAGTGTTGGTTTGAGAAATTTCGCGAGGGAAATTTTTCGTTAGATGACAAGAGTGGTCGAGGCCGTGTGTCCAATTTTGATCAAGAAGCTCTTCAAGCTCTTTTGGTGCAAAATCCTCAACTTACCCAACAAGAGCTTGCGACAACTTTAAATTGTTCACAAAAAACAATTTCTAATCAATTGCGTGCACTTGGCAAAGTCCAAAAGTTTGGAAAAGGGGTTCCTCATGAGTTGACCGACAACAACCGTAATCAAAGAGTCACAATTTGCAGTTCGCTCCTCTCTCCTCAAAACCGTTTGCTTAGAGCAAATTGTTACTGGAGATGAAAAATGGGTGCTGTATGTTAATTTGAAAAGGCGGCCTCAATGGTTGGACAAAAATGAGGCTCCGCAGCCCACGCCAAAACCTAACTTGCATGCGAAAAAAGTGATGATGTGTGTTTGGTGGAATTTTAAAGGAATTCTTCATTATGAACTTTTACCATCTAACCAAACCATTACAAGTGCATTGTATAGTGCCCAATTGGAAAGGTTAGCCCAAGCTTTAAGAGAAAAAGAACCCGCGCTGATTAATTGGAAGGGCGTAATTCTTCACCACGATAACGCACGACCGCATACTGCAAGAATCACTGCTGAAAAACTGCACCAGTTGGAATGGGAAGTTCTCCCTCAACCTGCATATTCTCCTGATATTGCCCCTTCCGATTACCATTTGTTTCGTTCTTTGCAAAACTTCCTTCTTGGAAAAAAATTTAATAATGAAGAATGCCTCAAAAATGCATTGACCGAATTTTTTGCATCAAAATCACAAGAATTTTACAACAGAGGGATTAAAATGCTTCCTGAGCGTTGGGCACAAGTAGTAGAAAACAACGGCAACTATATTGTTGATTAAATTTTGTTGTGTTGTTTAAATAAATTCGATTTTAAAAAGTATTAGAAAACGACATTAATTATTACTAGACCTAATAACTAAAGGCTTGAAGATTTAGGCAGCAACTTCCAGAATGCATGTCATTGCTTTATTTTATTTCCCATCTATTTCCCCCAGGAACTGATGACCTGAACAAATATGAAAGCATTCCTTCCAGGCCACAATACCATAAAACTCACTAAAAAACATATTTTCTAGTTCCTCCTTGGTTTTTGATTCTAGCTATACTAAGGACTCTAGCTATAGTATATACTAACAACTCTGACTATGGTTTGTTCTCTACTGTCTTTGCAGTCAGGTGCTACTTCTAAATATTTTCACTAGGTGTGCTCTAGGCTCTCGCTCTTTATATAATTTGTTATTGTGGACTTGAATACTTATCAGGAACGCCCAGGCATGTGTGTGTATTTTTAAGGTACATGTCCAGGGCATGTCCCCAGAGATTCTGATCTGGAAGGGTCCATGTGTGTTCCTGCTCTGTTGTTATGGCACACAGTGAATATTGAAAACCACTGCTAAAAATAAGAGTCAATGGTCTCTTGTGAGACCCGAGAGGTTCTCATCTTGCTTCCTATTTCTCACTTATGTCAGAAAGTGCTGTCTGGAAAGCCTGAGGAGAGAAAGGAACATTTTATAGAGGGCATTAATTATGGCATCAGCACAGACTCCATGGCAAGGGAAAGCAATTCATATATGGAAGGAACGGGTATACTCCTTGGATTACAAGTAAACACAAAAGGGAGTAATAAAAATAGTTTTCAAGTGCAGGGCACTGTTTACAATGAAAAGCAGAAATGCTCATTTAATTTGATATAATTGGCAAAAAGAGGCATTATATATTTTAAGCAAAAGATTTCGAATACATCTATAGTTGCATATAACATGTAATAGCTAGAGATCTGAATAAGAATGATCAATAACAAAAACAAAGTAGTATTTCAAAGATACAATAATGAGGGCACAGAATGTAGTAATGAACTACAGAAATAAAGATACAAACTGAAGATACAAAATTTAAATTGACAATTGCTTATAAAATGACTACATAACACCCATCACTAGTAAGGGTGAGAAATTTCTGCAACTGTCTGCATATGTATACTAAGAGAACAGGACATCACTTAAATAAAAGCAAAGTCAGAATAACTTTAAAACTTCCTTCTTCACCCAGATTAAACCCTATTAATTAAAAACAAGTTAAAAATAATCATAAAATTCAAAATTGTTTAAATTCTGGATATAATGTGCTACCTGAAACAGTCACAGTCAACCCTGGGTCAATAATTCCACTGTTGGGCCTCACACAGTATCGACGAGGTGCTGTAGTCTTCACTTTGAAACATACTTTTCTATCCGATGGATTTCGCAATTTAAGATTTGTAGTGACTACATCTGTGAAGGGGCCTGTAAGTTTCAAAAACCAAAAACAGGAGGGAAAAAAATTAATTTGAATTGTCCCATACACACAGAATTCAAAACTAAATGTTTATAATCTGAATTTTATATAAAGTACATATATTAAAATCTGTGTACATAAATATACCAAAAGACTACTTTTCTCACAAAGTGGTAGACTTACAAATGAATTTTACTTTCTTCTTCATTCTTTACCATATTTGGTGGAATTTTTACATGAGCATTTATTATTTCTATCAAATCAAAGTATACTGAAAGTTTCAATTCACAAAAGAAGTCCACAATTGTAATCTTACTGGAGGCCTGGTGCACAAAATTCATGCACGGGGGGAGCAGGGGTTCCCTCAGCTCAAGATGCACCCTCTCCAATCTGGGCCCCCTTGGGGAATGTCCAACTGCCAGTTTAGACCCAATCCCAGGAAGCAGGCCTAAACCGGCAGTCAGACATCCCTCTCATAATCCTGGACCGCTGGTCCTAAATTGCTCACCTGCCTGCCTTCCTGGTCACCCCTTACTGCCCCCCACTTCAGCCTGGTCGCCCCCAACTGGGCCCCTTTGCCGGTTTGATCATCCCTATCTGCCCCCCCCCCCTTGCCAGTCTGTCCTACCCCAACTGTCCCCCCTGCCGGCCTGGCTGTCCCCACCTGTTCCACCTGCCGACCTGGCTGCACCAAATGTGCCCCCCCACCCCCGCCCGGCTGATCTGGACGCCAACTGCCTCCCTTGCAAGCCTGCTTGCCCCCAACTGCACCCCTCCCCCCCACCGGCCTAGTCGCCCCTAACTGCCCCCCCTCACTGACCTGATCGTCTCTTACATGCTCCCCCCTCTGGTCCCCCCAACTGCCCCCCCTGTCGGTGGTTGCCCCTCACAGCCACCCCCGCTAGCCTGGTCACCCATGCAGCCTGCTGTTCAGTCGTTTGGTCGTCCCTCACTAACTCCCCTGCTGGCCTGGACATGAGCAGCCATCTTGTGAGGGTGTGAAGGTCAATTTGCTTATTACCTCTTTATTATATAGGATAGTAGGCTAATACCAAAATACAGGATTTTCCAATGGTCTGCAAACTAGTGACAATCTTTAAACATTCTTTACTGAGCCAACTACAAAAATCTCTACATTTGAAGATACTATATCCAATGACAACAGTGCTCTTGCTTCACCTCAGTTTGATTCATTCACTCACTAACATAGTTGTTAAGTATTTATTATGACCACTGTGTCTAATACTCTAGATACAGTTTTTAAGCTTTGGTTCTATTCACGACACAAAATTACAAAACAAAGAATCTAAAAAAGTGACCTAGTTCTGCCTGAATAAATCCTAAACTATTTTTTAAAGATATGTTTTTATTGATTTTAGAGAGAAAGGATGAGAGAGGGAGAGAGAAACAATGTGAGAGAGGGAGAGAGAAACAATGTGAGAGACATCAATGGACTGTCTCCTGCACACCTCCTACTGGGATGGAGCCTACAACCTGGGCATGGAATTGAAATCAAAGACAATTATTATAAAGATTTTCCTTTATTTAAATTAACAAGAATATGCATGCCGTTTAAAACAAGCAGATCTGCCTGATGCAATGAGAGGAAAAGAAATAAATCTCAAATGTAAAGTCTTTAAAAGGAACTTACTTATTTCAAGTCCTAGGAAAGGAAATCATTTTATCCTATTGAATTATAAATTATTTTCTAACAAAGAGTTGGAACTAGGATGAGATTATGAAGATTATGAAGAACATTAGAAGAAAATATATAAAGGCAGAGAAACAGAGAAAAAAATTAATGTAAAAATAGCATGTCTTTTAGGGGGAAAGGTATATAGTATACAATATACAGGTGGAACAAAAGTAGGTTAGTTTTTATATAGAAAATAGTATAATAATTAATAATACAAGTATAAACTCTCTTTCCCACACTCAACTGTAAACCTACTCCCCATCCTCCACCCCCTTATATATGAAGTGCAATCTTTCGATTTGCTTTACTTTAATTAGATGGTCAAGTTAATAATTCAATTTGTATATTATTTTCCATCCTTTGTTCTTCTTTAATCCCAACTGCTTGCATTTTTTATGAGATGATTAACAATTCTATCATACACTGGCATGTTAAAGAAAACAACACCAATCTGTCCATTTTGTCACATGAATTCATCCACAAAATGGTTGGCTATCGACACATTTTAAACTAATAGAAATAGGAGTCTTAAAGACATAGATCCCATTTCTTAACATTCTCCAAGTCCAAAAACTACTGCAGATAATTGAAACTGTATAAAATTTTATAGGGCTATTTCAACTAGGACTTTAACATGACAAAAGAAACTCACAAAATTTTATAACAAAATTATGTAAAAGTCTTTAAATTTTAAATTCAAGTTTTCTAATTCTCCCCTATTAAAAAATATATCAATTATCAAAAATAAGGTAAAATGGAATTTTTAAACTAATTTAGAAAATAAACGTGTCATTTTTCATCAACATGTGAATTCTGGAGTACTTAAATTTTATATTGCCAGCAGGACTTATAAAGATTTAGTAATAGACTGGCCCATCTACACATAAAATTGCAAACTACCTATAGATGAAGATAATATGTTGAAAGAAAAAAACTCCATCAATTTAGAACAAAATTCTTAACTGGATATGTTAGCCTTGTCAGTAAAATTATCTAGAATAAACCCACCTAATAAGTGATTTTGAGATTTTCTGCTCCATTATGTTCCTCTAACCAAGCCTCTCAATATGGGTTGCTGCCACCAGGCAGTTCAGAGTCTAAGCCATTTTCCTGGAAAATTAGCAATTACTGATGATCATCAGTAGAATAACCAGATTTGATAACTATTAAGAGATCTTGAGAAGAAAGACATTATCTGGTCTGCTTTTTTGGGTCACAGAACCCTCTGAGAATCTCAAATTTCTACAAACCACAGAAAAACATACAAAGACAAATATTCACAACTATTTTACATTGAATTTTAGGGGGTAAGAGTGAGATAAGGAGATTAGTAGAAGTGGGAAGGACCCTTGAAGGCTGCAGGTTAAAAAGACCTACCGGTAATAAAAATCTATCTTTAACAACTCTCAAAAACAGAGGGAAAAAATCCACATAATTTAATTGCTATGAAACAATTCTAAGTCCCAGAATAATACTATCCCTGTCGGTTATTTTTGCCTGGCATTATGACTAGGTGGTACTGTTGTTGGGGAAAATGGACCAATATGGTAGACATCCTGTAATGCCAGGGCAGATCATACAATGAAGCAATAGTATGCTAATTCCACCAAATTTTCAAATACCCCTCTAAAAATTCATATTGATGAAAAAACCTTTTTCAAATTTACCTCTTGTGAAAAACAGGGGGGGAAAAATGTTCTCTTTCTTCCAAAAGTTTAAAAGCAAGTTTACTATTATCAAAAAATTATTCTAACAACTGCAATGTCACTCATGATATTTGAATCATCATTGCAACATATCTAACACTCAACAGAGATTTGTAAGTGGTATATTCATGATTCTATCCATATGCATATTCTTATTTTTGCCATTACAAAAATGTTAAAGCAGTCAGCCCTCTATTCAGATATGTCTCGTCTTACTTTTCTTTTTTAAAATATTTTATTGATTTCAGAGAGGAAGGGAGAGGGAGACAGAAACATCAATGAGTGAGAACCACTGATCGGCTGCCTCCTGCATATCCCACTCTGGGGTTCGAGCTCACAATTCCATGCCCCAACCGGAATCCAATTGTGACCTCCTGGTTCTTGGGTGGACACTCAACCACTGAGCCATGCCAGTCGGCTTGTCTTACTTTTCTTAAATGCAAATTTATCCTACATAATAAAAGCCCAGCGACCAAATGGCAGAACAACCAGACAACCAATCGACCAATCACTTTAACGCACACTGACCATCAGGGGAAAGACACTCAACACACGAGCTGCTCCCTGGTGGTCAGTGCGTTCCCACAGTGGGAGCACCGCTCGGCTGACCAGGATGGCCCATCAGACATCCCTCAAGGGATCCCAGATTGGAGAGGGTGCAAGCTGGGCTGGGGACACACACCAAATGCACAAATTTTGTGCACCAGGCCTCTAGTGTGTTAATAATCTTTACTAATTGAATAAATTACCCTCTTCAATGCTTACATAATTAAACCTTTAAGAAAAACAAATTACTCGGCTGATGTGACTTAATGGTTGAGCACAGATCCATGGTCCAAGAGGTCACTGGTTCAATTCCAGGTGGGAGCACATGCCCAGGTTGTATACTCAATCACCAGTAGGGGGCGTGCAGGAGGCAGCCAATTAATGATGTTTCTCATCATTGATATTTCTATCACCATCTCCCTTACTCTCTCCCAAAAATCAATAAAAACATGTTAAAAAAGGAAAAAGTAATGGTTCCAAATAGCCAAGATAGGGATTAACTTAATAGAGAAAGGTGGTAGTAACTAGGAAAGGGTAGAAGGAGAGCTCTGAAATGCTGGCCAAGTTCTTGTCCTGAGCACTGGTTACATGAGCATTTACTTTTGATAATTCCTTACATAGTTTTCCTTTATATAAAACAAACTTGTAATTCTTTTTAGAAAAGCTAACCCATAGATACATACAATAAAGTGACAGAGGGAAGGGGGACTGGGGCTGGGTGGAGGTAGGAGGGACATCTATAATAGCATCAATAATAAGAATAAAGTTCCAAAAGACAACAAAATCTTTTTTTTCTTTTAAAGAAGAAAATCCTGTCATATGTCCAACATAGATGCTTAATTACTAGAATAATCCACTTTAAAGTTATCTGATAGTATACTAGTCACCAATCACAAGAACCACCTGATACACATATAATATTTCCTATGTTAGAGATGAAATTTCAGTTTATATGTAAGAAAAGTCCATAAAAAAATTCCACATAACTCAAGTTACATCTATTTGCAATCTTTTTTTTTTTTTTTTGGGGGGGGGGAGAACTACAATCAAAATAACTCCA